TCAATCGTTAATATCTCTGTTCCCATTGGGTCTTTTTCCGCCATTTAAGTACCATTCCATATAGGAGGCTTGCACTTAGATTTACAGTAAGGAACGAATCACCGATCGCTCATCACTACTGTAGGATTACGGTAAGAACTTTCAGCACATAGACCCATCGTAAAATATATGACCTAACAAAATTTTTTTAAAATTTAAAAAAATCATGTACAAAGGTTTTCGCGCATGCTGATTCCACTAATAACTTTTCACGAGCGTTTTAAGCTTTTTTGACGGTGTAGTCGCATTTCTGACAAATACTGGGAATCCTGTTATTACGGCTTACCTGAGATAGCTTTGGAAAGAAGCATCATAGTAAAGTGGATATTTCATATTCGAAATTAGCGGCTTCCATTACCATAGTGTAAGATTTTTTGGCTAGTTTTGTTCCGAGGCAGAATATGGCTTGCAATGGCCTGAAATCTTTGTCGAAGTTCCTAAAGTAATCCTACAGAAACGAAGAGAGATCGGCGATTCGCTCGATGCTATTAATCTAAGTTGAAGCCTCCTCTACTGAGTGGTACTTGAACGGCGGAAAAAGACGCAAGGGGAAGAGAGATATTGACGATTGAAAAGTGTGTACTTACTTTTGGGACACCCTGTAGATTAGACTTGAACAGGGATGCCTTCCAGCGATAAAAGCTTACCAACTTTACAGCAGTGCCGCGATGAAGCCGGTAAAAAATATTGAGCCAATTTTCCGTATTTTGCAGCACAAAATCTCGCATCCAAGAAGACTTCTATTCGAGACTATTTTTAGGGTAAAAATTGTACAGTCCTTTTGATCTTTTTAATTTCAACCTTCCTGCAGGCAAAACAACACAAAGCTTCGCAGCTATTTTTCTAGACGAGAGATTTTGAACACGCAAAATTTCTTAAAATGCTATCCTCAGCTGCGGCGCATTATTCGGAAGAGAGCTGAAACAACTTTCTCCCCTGTGACTTGCGCCCACCCGTAGGGGAATTAGACAATAAGTACGAGGAGGTCGTGTGGCAAAGGGGCTTGTGTCCAGTTTCATAGTCTGAGGGTTCGGGGTTCAAGTCATGCTAGTTGCTTTTTGTTTTGCAAAAGTATACCACAAAGCTAAACATGATGCACAGGCTTTAATCATGTCTACGTGCATCTTTGGTAAGTGGAATGTCATTATTGAAGATGTTCTGCGTCCAGCAGGTAGTGGCGTGTCTGTCAAAGATCTTTGGCCTTTGCAAGAGAGCTGACGAGAAAGGATCAGAAAAATTAGTTAGATTAACAGCCTGACGTTTCGTGAAGCTATCACAGATAGTATGAGCACTGTGGAAGTGGATGACGTGATGGAGGAGGATGAAGAAGATTCGGTGTGGTCGAGGACGATGAAGATGATATGACCAAATTGAAACAGCAACTGAGATTCCAAAATGCAACGTTTTCAGAATAAGCGTGAATCCACTTTGAAGGGCTTACTGTTACCCACCAATAAAGAATTACAAAGCAAGCAACCAAACTTGACATCCCAACCCTCTAATTATGAAGACAGACATTTGCCACTTAGAATTTTCAAATTTTCGCTAGTTGCCGTCACAAAAGAAGGTCGTCATAACTCCCTTCCGAATAATGCACCGCAGCAAGGGCTCGGTACAGATGGTTCATAAGCAAGCTGGATATCTTTTGGGACAGAAAGCAAAGGGGATGTCGTTTTTTGTTTTTTAATCGGCGTTCGTTTTATAGTCGATGCGGATATTTTGGATAAGGATCAAGGGACTTCATGAAACTTTGCGTTGCCGAGTCCTGACCGCAGCTAAGAACAGCATATTTGGCATCAGCGTTGCAAGATTTCAAAAATACGTGTTTCATCTCAAAAGGGTCCAGATACCTAGTGCCTTCCGCTGTCAGATATAAAAGATTCTATTTTCTGAGGACAGACATTAGGTCGGATCGAAAGTTCGTGCCGTTTTTGAGATGCATACTGAAATCGTTCAAAATGAAGATAGAAAAACGCTCCAAATAGTGTCCGATGCAGAATTTCTTCCTCTTTCTAGTAGCAGTGTTCCTCTTTTGATCAGGGCTCGGCACGAGGTGACTAGCTGAAATTGGAAAAAACGAAGTTCCCCTTGAATTTTACCAATTTTTACGAAGTCCCCATTGACCCTAGACCATAATCCCTTAAAATCCCCAAAAAACGAAATGTCAAGTAAAAAAACGTCGCAATTTTTGCGTCTTTTCAGCCACAAAAACGAAACCCCCTTTGCTTTTTGTCCCAAAAACGATATCCAGCTTGCTTGTAAGCCACCTGTGCCGAGCCCTGTATTAGCTGCAGCCGATCAACAGCGCTTGCCACACTAGTGTTGATCACTTTGCTTCTGTAGTAGTTAGAGTTTAGCGGCACCAATTCGTTGAAGGGAACAACTTCACAGATGTTGAGTATGGTGTCAAGGAACACTATATAGCTGCAGCCGAACAACAGCGCTTGCCACACTGGTGTTGATCAGCACCACTTTGCTCCTGTAGTCTAGAATTTAGCGGCACCACTTCGTTGCAGGGAGCGACTTCACAGATGTTGAGTATGGTGTCAAGGAACACTATATAGCTGCAGCCGAACAACAGCGCTTGCCACACTGGTGTTGATCAGCACCACTTTGCTCCTGTAGTCTAGAATTTAGCGGCACCACTTCGTAGCAGGGAACGACTTCAGAGATGTTGAGTATGGTGTCAAGGAACACTATATACAGTTGTTTTCAATACGTATTGGTTTCTACCGTATGCCTTCCAGCCTCAACATGGCGTGGATTGGTGTGGATTGGGCACTGGTATGGATTGGTGAGGCGCCACATCGCTTCGGGTTTGCGCCGCGTTGCTTTTCTCGGCGGCGCCGCACCAATCCACACCAATCCACGTCAGGTTGAGGCTGGAAGGCATACGGTAGAAAAAACCAATACGTATTGAAAACGACTGTAGCTGCAGCCGAACAACAGTGCTTGCCACACTAGTGTTGATGAGCACCAACTTGCTTCTGTAGTCTAGAATTTAGCGGCACCACTTCGTTGCAGGGAAAACTTCACAGATGTTGAGTATGGTGTCAAGGAACACTATATAGCTGCAGCCGAACAACAGCGCTTGCCACATTGGTGTTGATCAGCACCACTTTGCTCCTGTAGTCTAGAATTTAGCGGCACCACTTCGTTGCAGGGAACGACTTCACAGATGTTGAGTATGGTGTCAAGGAACGCAGCCGAACAACAGCGCTTGCCACACTAGTGTTGATCAGCACCTCCTGTAGTCTAGAATTTAGCGGCACCACTTCGTTGCAGGGAACGACTTCACAGATGTTGAGTATGGTGTCAAGGAACACTATATAGCTGCAGCCGGACAACAGCGCTTGCCACACTGGTGTTGATCAGCACCACTTTGCTCCTGTAGTCTAGAATTTAGCGGGACCACTTCGTTGCAAGGAACAACTTCACAGATGTTGAGTATGGTGGCAAGGAACACTATATAGCTGCAGCCGAACAACAGCGCTTGCCACACTGGTGTTGATCAGCACCACTTTGCTCCTGTAGTCTAGAATTTAGCGGCACCACTTCGTTGCAGGGAGCGACTTCACAGATGTTGAGTATGGTGTCAAGAAACAATGGAGCAAAGCAAATGGTAAATCCCCTTTTCTCAGGTTTCTCATGCTAAATTTGTTTTTTCTCAATCGTCAAAGTACGTACAGGGATAAACTTTTGAGATTATCCTTCCTATGGATCGCTGTTTGCAATCACATAAGTGGGAGGAACCTACATTGCTGGGAAGAGAGTATGCCATTTTCCGATTTTCTTCTTTTTCTTGATTTCTAAGGGAGGAAAAAGTTGTAAAGTGCATTTTTGTATATGTCTATGTGTCCACTATACATCCACCAAATTAGAGGGTTGTAGGGTTTTTTGAACAGAAATTCACTTTTCTGTTTGAAAGTTTGAAAGTTTTTAAATCTTGATACCAAACTTCACACAGATGAAATTTTGTGCGAATATCTGTATGCATGTTGTAGAAACTGCTTTTCTCTGTCGAGCAGTATGCCAAGTCTGCTAAGCTAATAGACAGAATGTGGTTTACTTTAAAATGGCATTCACTTCTGGGACAACCTATAATACTATCTGGATCATTTCCTTATCATTATTCTGAACGAAGAACAGATTTGTAAAACGCTACGAACTTTTGGACCAACCTAATAGAATTCGATTGAGATCGGTCACTGAGAATGGCTTTGATGCTAACTTAGAAGAAATTTTGCTTTTTGTGCGCGCTTCAAAAAGCTACTACCATTTTTTATTACGCTGGTGAGCAGGCACATCCGAATAAGTGATTTTTCTGTTTTGAAATGGCTCATAAGATTCCGTACTTCCAATGTTAGAGGTAAAAATACTACATGGATTTGTAGACCCATACCTGTGTAGCATATAGTCGACAAGATAGATTGATTTTTTCTTGAGAAACAAAGTAGGCCGATTCAGATTGAACTATAGCATCAAGATGTAGAAATGCTATTGTCAGCATTGAAATGCAATCCAACAATATATGTGCTAGACAGCACCATGGTATTTATTGGTAATGATGTTGCTCTTGAACGCATCTTAACAAATGTAATTCGTTTTTACTGAACTGACATGGGCTCAACACGCTAAAGTAATTTTCCTTCAACCTCTACTTTCCTTGTTCTGTTCACCCCTTTGCTTCCCACCCCTTGCAACCTTCTAATCCCTATTTTATTTACCCTGTGATAGAGAGAATTTCTACCGCGTAGCACTTGTCCGTAATAAAGTCACACAGCTAATCATTTTCAGCGTAAATTGTGATCCAAAATGGATGAGACAGTAACGAATAGTCGAACCCTTTCAGTATAGACTATGTTCCTTTCACAAAAAATTATAAAATATACTGTGTTTAAAAACAGCCAATTCGCAGCAGAGTGACCAATGTAAAAACAACGTTCATTAATTTCTGAAGAAAAAAGAGTGCACGCTCTACGTACTTTGTTCTTGAAGATACTTGTACAAGCGTGCTTTTATATACAAACAACAATAGAACACAGCGTAGAAAAAAATCTATGCAACACATCATTGAAGAATACAGGAAAGTTGATAAATCAATATGATAATCGTGAGTAGAGGTGATAATATCATTGGACAAAAATGACTATGAAAAGCTCGTATAGCTAAAACTCATATATTTGTATTAGAATTCTATGTAAGAATATGACATCTGTACTCTGATAAGGTTTAAACGATAGACAAGGGAAAACACATTTGGCCAACATGTCGTATTGAATTTGTTCATATGGATTAAATATTGATCACAAATCAATAAATCAGGAGAAAAGGATATATTCAATAAATAAGAATGCAATATGAATGTGGACCGTACTACTCAGAAGCATATCAGCCTAACATTACACAATCAGTCAGGCAAACATCACACTCGATTTTTTGTGGATACAAACTAGAACTCTATGAATCTATGTTAGACATAGCAATCTCAACACATGCACATTTTCACTACCATTTCGTGTAGTTTCAAAATTATCTACTGCATATAGTAGCAATCAACAAATTTCTTGGCGACTTGCATAAAAATACAGCGCATTAGTTCGACGGCGGGACGAGTTGTCCTCAGATTTAATGATTTACCTCAGATGAGGCAAACGCTAGATGCGCATTTCCGTCGGCATTTGAATCAATGGTGGACTGACGACAATTATCGTAGATATATACTGAAGTCGTCTTGCCACATTTACACTCAGCACGATGCGGTCATTGATATCTGCCAACGGTTGCCGAGCCTCGATGAGAGGAAAGTTGAAGATACTTATCAAATTCATGTGGATTTATGTCCTGAAACGAAGAAACTTTGGCCACTCTTATTTTGACATCCACAAGCAATGTTCTGCAGTGAAGAGCAAAGAAGCAAGCTTGACAAATAAACAGGTTATGTACGATTGCCAATACACTGTAGCTCATTCCTCGGGAACTGCTTATTTCTCTGACACGTAACAAACACAACATCAACACCTGCAGACTCACATTGTACATATACGCTACTATTTTATGCAAAATTTCTTATAGCCCTCTAAACCATCGCATCGTCTAAAAAAATGTTTCAATACTCAAACATATTGCCGCCATATTGCAACAATATTTGAACCTACTATGCTCTGTGTTTGAATAAAGCTATCCGTAAGCAAGACAAAAGTTGTTTTTGAGCAAACACTGAATTTGCTGATAAGTTGAACTCAATAACAAACCGCAATGGCACCAGGGTCCAGCAGTCCAAGGGGAGAGCTATAATCGACATCCATGTTGGAGTCTGCAACTGCTCCGCTATCAGTTGACATCGTTCGCTAAAATCATTCAGGCGTCAAATGGCCGCAAGTAATGAGTTCGGCAAATTGCGTCAAATTATGGCACTCACATCGTGAGCGAATTGTGGTGCGAGATGGGCGTGGCCAGCTTGGTTAATTGGAGGATATGCGGGATACTGTGTCTGTTCAGGCTGCAACGTATGCAATATCTCGTATGGATACTTTTCAAGTTCAAAAATCAAGATAACAAGTGAAATAAATGTGTGGATAGGAGAATGTTTCCATAGAGGAAAGCAGATTTCTACTACTTTTGAGAGAACTATATGGGGCAAACATAAAGGAAATTATAAAAATGGTACCATCATGCTAGTTGTTTGCATTGGCGACATGGCGTTGTGGTACTGCTGAGGGCTCTGATCCAATAATCCCTGTAAGAAATACATAGGAGCATGGATGGTGGTAAAAGATTTGAGAGATAGTCACAAGCCAAACTATGACTATATTATTATCGTGACGTTCTTTCGAATGTTCTACAAAGGCTTGAAATTAGGATAATTCTTTTCCATCTCTTCTGATGCATATTCACTCTTTATTTCTTTTCATGCAAACTTAGCCCCTTTTCGAATGAACAGCGAAGGAAATGCTGACTAGCCATGGATGGTGGAATTTATTTTAATTAGAAACACTCAGATTGAAGTATCTACATTCTCGGGACAAAACTTACGCCTGTTACCATCTAAAACAAAAGCCAAAGAACAAACTTTGCGCAAAATAGGAACAACTGCGCATCAGCAAGCCATATCATGCTTGATCGCTGATCAACATAAAATTTCAATCTATCAATCTCGAGAAAAATTCACAGCTCAGAAAGTTTCATATTTTCGATAAGAGGAATAACTTGATGTCACAGTCTGGTTTTGAGGACACAAAATAACAATTGCAAAGCAGGTGTCTGGGCGCTAGAAGAAAATGCAGTGCAATAGTATCTATCCATTTCCATCCTTGGCTCAAAGTTGACTTGCAAATTTACTGCATACCAAAAACTACGATAGCAGGAGTAACCCCTCGAAGTAATGAGGTGATCGCCCAAATCCAACTATGATGTTTGAATATCAAAAACATAAACTACGCTCTTCCCTTGCGGCGTCTCAAAGATATCAAAATAGCATGTTGGGGGCTGAACACAAAGCTTTAGAAGAACTACCCCTATTTACTGTAAGTTGTAATTACTTCCAACAGCATTGGGGCAAATTAACTATAGGACCTCTATGGAAAAGTAGAAGTCATTCGACTGCGACCTTACAGCCACCAAATGACGCAAGCCCCTAAACCGGTAGGGCAGTATCACTCTCAGCTTAATCAGCTATAGTATGAGCGCGATATAAGTAAGAAAAGCAAGGAGTTCAGTGACAGTTACTGCCGCAGTACAATTTGCAGACACTCTATGATTTGATATTCCTAAAAATCTGGAAAGTTAGCTGTTTGTGTGGGTGAAAGGAGGGCGCTAGGCCAGCCGAGGTGCGAAGACCCTATACTCAATTAGTAGCATACGCTAGTCCATGCTCCGTACTTGCTTTAACAATTCCTAACGATAAACCTATTTCTAGCTGCTAGAACAACTCTAACAAATTCTACAAAAAAAGCAGTCTTCCAAAGCGATGTCACCACAAAAAAATCAAAAATCACGCAACAAAAATCCGAAAATCAAATATTCTCAAGTGAGTAACGCCTTCGAGAACTTTCACGAGCAAATATCACTTTTGTTTATATGATAAATCCAGAGGACTACCGAGAAATTATAGTTATTATATTATTACCCAGAATGACATTAGAGGTGAAGTGGTGCTAGAACACAAACCTGGAACCTAACAATGCTGATTATTCCAGAGAAAGAGTATCAACTTTTTTAAAGCCTTTCTCAAAGCAAGATTTGGTTCTTACCGGAACAAAACTACTTTGAAGTTTTCATTCCAATCCTTTCCAACAACCAACCGCAATCTGAGCTAAACCTTTACTTATGCGTTACCATCTGACCTTACATTATTGCTGTTCAGAAGTTTCTGCAGTCCGTAAGGTCAGCATATGCTTTACGGTAATTAACGAAACAAGCAAGTTGGGCATATTGAGGTGAAGGACCCTTAAATCAACAGTTCACTCTAATCGATGCACAGTGAAAATCCGCACTTGTCGATGTGCAAAAACTTGTTAGTGGTGAAAGTCACAACAACTTGCACTTTTCTACAAATCGCCACCACAGGGCGCCACATAGAGTCTTAATTTTCTTGAAGGCCAAACTTTAGAGACGTGGTCATTTACACACAAATCACTAATGATGTATTTTCCTTTCATTTTTTGATACCAGACTACATGTGTACGTTATGAGCAGTTTTCAAGAATGGTCTATGGACTTCTGGGAAAAATTACCAGAGGAGGAATTCTATTGCTTCAGCGACTGCTCATATCATTGACATGACTGACAAGTTCAGCTCCAGACTCTCGACCAGATCGTACTCTTTATAGATCGGGGGAAAGGATAGAGAGCGAGTATGAGGATAACAGAACTTGAAGCGTAAGGAAATTGTGAGCCGCGAGGAACAAAGTTATATGTTTTTGCTAAATTCCAATTCAGCAACAATGGAATTGCTTCCATTAGACCAGATGAGGCCATGGCTCGGGTAACACCGAGTATGTCAGCTAGTTCTATGATAAGGAAACTAACCGATCGCAGTAGCTGTTCTTGTTTCTCCAACATTACTGAGCGCTCGTTTTGCAATTCTTGTACTCGCTGGTAAGTAGAAGAGTTGAAATCCTGAAAAAAAACATGAAAATATGAAAAGCTCAAAAAATGATTTATGAGGCCGATTCACCGATATTACGCGCCTTCAGAATGTACTGGTTATTAGTTTTGTTTGAAGGGAATAAAGTGCTAGCACATTCTCTCCAAAATTAGGTACTAGAATGTTAACAAACAGACACATCACTACGTAGGTGCGGTCCTACCAGCTCCATCGCGGACTACTGATACAAAGTAACCATCACTAAACAGTACGACCAGTTCCAGCAGTTCGCCGAGTTCAAGCTCATTGCTGGTACATGGTCCGTTCGTGACCACCAGTTACATTCAAAACAGAGCAAATATTTCGCAATGTGACAGTATTGTGATTTTACTCTAATTTCAAAACCCAAAGCTTGTAATTGGTAATTGTGGACTAGTGTGACACAAATCTACCTGAGTTGGTGGCATTTGTGCGTAGGCATGTTGTGGTTGATGCATAATCGGCTGTTGAGGAGGGAAGTAGGCTTGTTGTGGTGGTTGCTGCTAACAAATGAGTTATTCAAATTCATTTCAAGACAAGTCTGGACGAGACAAAAGCTGGCTGCTTCAGACCTGCATCACATTATGTTGGTGGTACTGCTGTTGTTGCTGGCATGCATGTCTTTGACGGATTTCTTCCTCTTGCATATGCTCAGCTAAAATTTCACAATGTTAAAAACGTAGACATTTGAGAACAAGTGCTATCAATGCTGGAAATTTTTGTGCTTTACAAATCTAGTTACATTCATTGTCTCGCACGAACAACGAAGACCAATTCTGTGCAACAACGTCGGATAAAACCTGAATGAGAAATACTCACGTATTCGTGGATCATACCAAGTCGTAGTTTGTGTATTGTGATCCACGAAATAACGATTTCCCATCTCGTCTAGTTTCATTTCCCAATTTGGCGGTAATGGACCAAGTGAACTCATTTTGTCTGCCATCTAAACAGTAGACAATGTTAGTTGCTAAAGCAAAGTATTGCAGTATGTCTAATATAGAATCTGCTCACCTGAGAACCCGGATCGTGCATTCCGACAATCATCGGATCGAGAGAATGGCTCTTCCCGCGCGGATCGAAGAGTGATGAAGGGACAGGTCTAAAATTACCAATTACTTCACATAAAATGACCAGAAAATATTGCTTTCTCACTCATGGAATGATGGCTGAGTTCCAAATGACGCGTTATAGTTGGCCTCATGCGATACAGATCGATTGTGCTGTGGAACTCTGAAAATATCGAAAGTAAAATTTTGCGCATCAAATTCCAAAGAAAATGTAACTCACGTAAACGCCGGATCTGGCATGGGAGGGATGGCCGAGACGGACTTGGAATGATGATGTGTAATCACTTGTGGCACGGGGACAGGCCTGAAATGGTGGTCCTTTTTTGTTATTGAGTAGCTTTTTAATTTGATTCTTTTTAGTTGTGCAATCCCTATGAAATCTCTACCTAAACTGTACAATGTTTTCATTAGTACCTAACGACCTAACAACAGACTTCAATGTTCTAGAATTCAATTCTGGCGCATATAGGCCATAAAAATCTACTCAGTATCTCCTTACAAAATTTCACGAAAAAAAACATTCAGATTTCCTTGCTGCAGTATTACGCCCGCTTCATATTCCCAATACGGAATGTAATTATCTCGATAACAAATAATACGTTGCACATTATAACATACCTATTGTACATGTCGAGATGATGCGTATCAAGTTCCGGAGCGCTTGCTTGTTTTTTGTGGAAAGGCGTTGCAACCTGGAAATTCGTGAAGAAACATTTTTCAGCATCATCATATACAACAAGATCTGAAACTTTAACTTATTCGTACAATAATTGGTTTTGGGATCCGATATGATTGAGCTTTGCTTCATTATAGTACAGATAAATAAGAGCAATGCAGTGTTTTAGCTAGGTAATTGAGGGAAGTTTTGGTCTGGCTTGAAAAGAATTTGCGTATTTCGAAGAGAAACCTTTAACTATGGAAAAATGCAAGCGAACAGCTGTACACGAAGTACCTCTTGGCTTGATCATAAAAAATCTGCATACAAGCTGACCAAATTAATTAATCTTTTTTTTATCTCAGCTTTACAAACAATTTCTAACCTGCTGACTTCCGCTCGGACTCAATGCATTTCGACTTGCATTACTCATTCCATCATCACTGCTACCCTGAGGTGAATGTCCGGCCGAACTGCCACGAGGACGTTGTTTTGGTGCATAGTACGCCATAGGGAATTTCTGAATTTTCAGATCTTCAGGATATGAAAAACATATGTAGCAAGTTTGAAGTGCCCACTCTAGTTGGCTTCCTTTCATATAGTTTCCCATCACTAACGCGTCCAGCCTGAAACAGCTCGCCGATGCTCTTCTCCGTGTCGACGTAGGTGTACACCTCGAACATCGACGGTCCCGGAGCCGCCGTCGACATCTTGTGCTGTTTCGTCTTTTTTGAAGCCATCCCTGCCTGAACAGCAACCGTCCGACTCATACGCAAAGCAAGAAGATTTAGCGAAATGTGATCTCGACAAACGGGACGAAAAGTGAGAACTGCAAGAAGTCGCAGAGGTTTTGTAGGTGATGCATCAATAACCGTCACGTCACAAAAGACACGCCGCCCATTTCGTGCCACACTTCGGTCACGTCTGAGACCACCGCAGACAAATGAATGCGACAGATGACTAAAGCAGATGAGAAGGACTACGACCAGCACATGATAAACGAGCGGATCTAAAGCGCTTGTGAAGAAGCATTATAGTTATTGTGAGCTAAAGAATGGAGAAATAAGAGTCAATTCACTCGCAAGAAAAGTGAGGTATTATGGTGAACACTCGCGATACATTCGTAGGCTAGAACGTCGATGTCGATAGAGGAAATCAAGACTGCAGTTGTCGGTGGTTCTCTCAGTAAAAAGATTCGTACAATGAGGAAGGGCAACGCAACAACGATTCCTCTCTTCCGATACACACACACAGACACTCGTGACATGATGGGTTGGGAACAGACAATATTGAAGAGAATTTTAGCTCAACATTATCTGCGATATGATGATATATCCTGTTGTTAGTCCCAAAATTGTTTTTAAACAAACAACAAGCTTCTGGTAATCTGATGTGATGCATATCAGATGCAAAGCACCAATTGTGTCCAAAAATGGAAAAGAGTGAAGCCCTTATTACTGGATAGAATTTGTGAAAGCAAACCACGCAAAATTCTGCTTCAATATATGAGGTCTTTGTAAGTAAGAGAAGGATAGGAAAGATGACAGAAGTTGCATCATTTTACACTTATCACTATACACCAGAACTCGAACTTCCAGCATTGCTGAAAGGATAGCGTTACATATAAGCACATCAAAGGTCCTTTGAAAAAAAAAAAAACTAACACCGGCCACTGGGCTGATCGGCCCATAGCTCGCCTGGGTTAAAAGATTTTTTTTTAGAAATATGGAGAAGATAACCATAGGAAATATAGGCGACAAATGAAAAAGAAAAAAACATGCTTCCAGAAACTTTACGAATCAGCAAAATCAAACGGAAGCCTACTGCCTCGTTCTATTCGCTAGGGACGATTGATCTGATGAATGTACAAGCTATGCAATCCATCGATGATCTGTCTGTAGCGATCAGAAAAGTAAAAGTCGCATCGATAGCGAGTTTTCTCCAGCTTGTTTATAACAAATAAGGTAAGAAGCTCAAGATAGAGAACAATCGCTAGAAACCACTATTCTTTACTCGCACATAGTAGTTTTTCCAGTAAAGTACAGATGGGAACCACTACGAACAGAACGACGGAAACAAAGCAGCAATTACAGTAGTTGGCGATTGTCGGCGAGCATCGGTAATTGGATGGATAGAGAATGTCCACGCATGCACGAGATCATCATCACGCATCATACTGTATCGCGTGTGAGGTCCGGAAGCCATAGCGACAATATGGCGCCCAAAATAATGACAGAGGATAAATGAGAGAGAAGAGTATACGGTACTGAAAATGATCAAATGGTGTGAACATACATACACTGATTAATGTACGCGAATAGGACAAAGATTATAGTGAAGAACGACTGTTGGCGAGTGTAGAACGTTATGTTTGGCATTGAGGTTGAACACTCAAAGCTACGCAGCAAGTTTTCAGCGCTTTCACTATGGTACATAGCGGAGATAAAACGAACAAAACAAAAGCGAAGCAGATCAATAAAATGAGTATGATAAGGATAAATTGGCAGCGAGCGTACGTGGCATTCTTTTTAGTAAATGAGAACGACAGAAGCCTTATGCAACACACCTAGACAAGGCAGAATGATGCAGCAGATAAGAAATTTTGCAATCATGAATCAAACAAAAATAATAACCTCAAAGAGTAGATAGCCCGAATTTTAAATTTAGCAGCATAAAGTAGAATCTCCACTTTGATATAACTAGCGAAAAGGCTACTACAGTGTTAGGCATGGATGAAGCGATAGTAAAAAAAAATCTCGAACAATGTCTTAGAACAGCTTGTGATCAAGCAATCAATTTGAAAAACGGTTTTTTAATCTAAGTGAACATACTAATGTGACTAGATGTGACTGATATTTCAGGCTATTGAAAAAATGTTGTCACCGACATGAAACTCATCTTAAGAAAATTTGTGACATATTAATAGCCGGATATAAATGATGAGCCTGCTTCTTGAGGATAAATGAAGGTTTTATCAAACAATAAAAATTCTGCATCTTCATTATTGATATTATAAAATGTTTCCAGCTTTATCAACTTTGTCAAAGAAGGATAGAAATAGGTGTAGCTGAGAGAAACTATGCCGTTTAATTGCAAACATACACAAGAGCTAGCGGAAAAAAAGAGAAACTTCCAACGTAATTTTCAGGAAACATATAAACGTTCTGTGAAAAATGAAAATATGAGGTTGGCTTGCAGATTTGCATCAATAATTTTATTTAAAATCACTCCAACTCCTCATACTTTGGTGCGTTGAAGGAAAGAAGCACTACTGTTAAAGTAGCGCAAGCTTGACTCAACATCGACTGATGTGTAAGCAAAATTATCTATACGTCACTTTTGTAGTTTACAGATTAAAGGGAAGTGAATTAGGGTGTACTGAGGATCGAACTGCACCCTCGGCGATTTCAAAGGCATGGTAGCAAAATGATGGTGCATCGTTTTGTTAGACGTCTGGCACGAGTCGCTGCAAGGTCGCCTTCGACCAGCGTAGCAACTGCAGCAGACCAGCAAATGACTGTACCGGCCCGAATCCCACGTGGACTGGGCCCATCAAAGAACGCAGTGGATCACAGAGTGAACTCAATAAGCAGCTCCCGGCTCCGTGGTGTCGCCGATCCCGAACGCGAGCGACGGCGGGAGCGGGATGTGACGGTAAGATGGTAGAGCGCTTTGTGAGGCGTTTAACTCGAACGGAGGCAAGGTCGCCAGGGGACGACCACGACCGCACACACACACCGCACCACACACACTATACTAATACGACACATTTATGAGCGGCGGCGCGTTCACCACTCACAATAAAAGGCAAGCGAACGATCGACTAAGGAGAAGGAGTCACACCTTCGACGACGACGTCGAGAATCGATGCCGCCGCCGGCGAACCGGACATGAGCATCTCCAGAAGAGCGCCGACCGTCGCTGACTCACGCCAGCCACCCGCAGCCCCCGATGCGATACTGTTTCCGGGCCTTTGAGAAAGAAGTGCCTAATGCCCGCTACGCTGTTACGAACCCGCCGCAATACCGGCGACCCTGAGGTAAGAGGACGAGAAGTTAAGGACGCTTATATTGTGAGAACATGCGTCATTGAAGAGCGACAGCGACGCGACGCGGCAACAAACACACGCTAGATTGTCAGAAACACTAGTGGAAACTTGGATTGAGCAGGACAGGCTATGCGTGCACTGATTATGTGAGTATCCGACCTCATAAGGAGATTGTCTGCAGTGCAGCAAACGAAGAAAACTTTAGAAAAAAAGATTAATTAAAACGTGAATATTTGAAAACAAGATATGATATGATGCAGGGTTGTCAAAAGTCACAGATGATTTTAGAGAGAAATTATCGATTTGCAGGCCATCAAAGGAGATCCAAATTCGGTTTATACTCTTAAAATGCTTGCTCCAGTAGTTTTCGATAACCACGACAGTAAGCTAACAAGGAGTGCACTTTTAGTTAAAGTGGCCATTTGTAATGAGATATATATAAGCCGATGATGATAAGCCAGTCAAATGTGTTCTGTATCTGTTGAATGCTACACCGGAAGAAGCTTGGGCCTGATTTAGGAAAAAATTTAAACACGATGTTGACAAACTGGTGCTCTTCTCACGGCTCAGATAGTACGGCCAAAAATATTCCGGCCAGAATGCTTCCTTTGAAAATAGGAAATAGGCAACTCGGCAATTTTATGCCTCCACCATCAGATTGAAAAGAAGAACACTAAAAGAACCTCACTTTGTAGATTTTTCAGATCCGAATTTGAGCAGTAGTTTTAATCGCCGTCATCCCAGAATGAAACGCTACAATGATTTAATCTCGCCAACATGCTTTAAGAAATGCGCGAAGATACATGAATATTAGACCTATGTACAAAATAGGGCTGCTACGACTTCGGAAGCCATGTCTCCAACCTTCTAGAAAATAACGACAAAAGTAATGCTGGTCAACAGGCTCTCTATTTGCAAAAGACGTAATCACTACGAGTTTATTTTTTAAGCATTTCACTGCTGAAGTCAAGTGTATTAAACCGATTATTAAGATGTGTCCTATTGCACTTGTAAGAAAGAAGCTTTACTGCAGAGCTGTTTACAGCGAAAAAAAAGATAAAATCTACATGTTCTCAAGATTTCTCACCTGTCTATGCCGATATAAATGCATAGGATATATAAATATGGAAACTAACCAGAAGATATTTCTACATTTTTCGAGCAAGATCGAGTGTATAAATCAAATTATCAAGTTTATTATACTAGCGAAGAATATATTGAGTTCGAAACAATACTAAGCGAAGGGTTAGATCGCAGACTACTACGTATAAACTAGAACTACACGCCATTGTATGAGCAAACTCACCACACCCACGAATTGAAAAGCATCTACGAATACAGATGGCAAAACAATAACATTTGTGATAATGAGATTAGAACGTGAAAAAAAAAACGAAAGAATGATTCATGGGCTCTAAGATCCATGTGAGTCATAGGGTGAATCAAAGAGCCCTCAACGCCCAACCCAGTTCCAGCTACTAAAAAATTTCGAGTGGTAATTTGCAGCGTTCTCCAACGAGCGTACTGTATGAATTCCAAAACAATGCAAATCGATAACGAGTAGTTTGAGATACTAGATTACTAGGACAAATCGTAGCAGAACATTTGCATAGCGACACAAACTTCTGTTTAGCTTATTTTCTTGCGTACCTCGTGAATAAAATCGTGAATTTTGACTGAAGGATGGAAGCGATTTAG